CATTTTAAAAACCTTTCTAGGAGACAGCACCTGCAGATCTGACACCTTATAATATTACTTAGAGCAAAAGTGGAGCAGGATATAAAGATGATTCGGCTAGGATATTTGCATATGGGCATTTCAAGGGGAGCTTTAGCTGGACTTTAAAGCATTAATCCTATTAATTAATTAATGTCAAACCTTATTTTTTAATGCCTTCATTAATGTGTCTCTAATTAAAAAAGTAAAAATGAGACGTGTACCCAATGATCTGTGACATTATGTGCTACATGGAAATGATTTAGGTCAGTGGTTCCCAAACTTCTTCCACCGCTTGTGCAGGGAAAGCCCCTGGTGGGCTGGGCTGGTTTGTTTACCTGCTACATCCGCAAGTTCGGCCAATTGCGGCTCCCAGTGGCCGCGGTTCACTGCTCCAGGCCATTGGGAGCTGCTGGAAGCGGCGGCCAGTACGTCCCTCAGCCCGTGCCGCTTCCAGCAACTTCCATTGGCCTGGAGCAGCAAACCGCGGCCACTGGAAGCCTCCATTGGCCGAACCTGCGAACGCGGCAGGTAAACAAACCAGCCCAGCCCGCCAGGGGCTTTCCCTGCACAAGCGGCGGAACAAGTTTGGGAAACACTGATCTAGGTTCAGGACCAAAGATGATTAAACTCCTGGGATGACAGTGCTGGGAGAAACTCAGTCTTATATTCTAACCACTCAGCAATCTTTCAGAAACTACGTGGCTCTTTCAGCCTCACATTGGCCCCATGGTCTTGGGCTCCATCGGCCAAACCACATTCTGGTCAATCAATTGCCTTGCAATAAAATGACATGTGCCCCGGGAGCATCTGCATCCTTAGGGATTAACACAACTCTTAACTTTTCCAGACCACAGTTTTCAAGTGGATCTCCTCAACTGACAGTTCTGTCATTTGGGAGTAGTTGTAGAGTGCCACAAGTGTATACAGTGGATAATGTCTGTGCCCTGAGCAAAGAGGCAATTGCAACAAATTCACTATTGATTCAGTAGAGCTATTTTTTTGCTTATTTTCTCAAGGTCACACAAACTTGGTTACATTGCTTCCTTGAATGCTGCCGCAATGCCAAACTAAGTTTCTATTCCTTCCTACAGTCATGGATAAGACTGATTTCTAACTCTAGTTGCCCTTCTGGCAAACAGTGTGTAAATTACACTTCCCTACGCAATTGAACCTATAGTCATCAGACTTGGCTTTAATTTTTAAGCTTCATTTAAATCTACAAAACAAACAAGTCTCAAAAATTTAGACCCAAAAATAATGTATTGGAGAAAGTACTGAACAATTGAAAAAGGAGGATTGTAATGGAATTTGTGTTTCAGCCCTATGTAGTGGTTGCTCCCAATATAGATATAAGTGTGTGTGTGTGTGTGTGTGTGTGTGTGTGTGTGTGTGTGTGTGTGTAAAATATACACACAGTTACACTCAATGTAATATATTTATTTTATTGTTTTTCTTACCATTTTTAACACAATTGAAATACTGTATGGGTAGAGCTGGGCAGGAACTGGATTTTCCATTTTGCAGGAAATTCCACAATTTCATTTTTTTCCCCCTGTTCTGGAATGGAACAAAAACAAACAAAGAAAAAAATTCCAAGAAACAAAATAAAAAAAAACCATTTAGGGGATATCAAAATGTTTTGTTTTGATTACATTTCATTCCAATTTTGACCTTTTCAAACTTATAAAAAAATCTAAGCAAAACAAAATTTTGACATGTTTCAGTCCAAAAATGTCAAGTGGGACATTTCAACACTATTAAATTGATGTTTATTTTAAAACAAAATTTCATCAAAATCTATTTTTTTATATATTCTGCTTTCAATGGAGCTGACATTTTTCATCAAAAGAATTATTTTGATGAAAAATTTCTAATCAGAGCTATGTAGGGCTCGTATTAACACTAACCCCATCGTTGAAACACCCTTTAGTATCTTATCTTACAGTAAAATACATCTTATTACTTATTTATACAGTGCTCATTCCAAAAGGTGTCAATGTTCAAGGAGAAAATAGAAATGCAAGTTCTCTTTTATTTTTGTGATACTTAATCTCCAAGCACAGCAAAGTGTGTTATTTGGAATACTGAAAACTTAGGTTGCTAGAAATAAATTGTTGTCATTTTAGTATTTATTAACCCGGCTGTAATATAATCAACCAAATGCTGACTTTGTTATTACCTTATTATGACCCTGATCAAAAAAGCCCATTGACGCCAATGGGAATGTTTTCATTCACATCAATGGGCTTTGGATCAGGTTCTATATGCAATTTGTTGCCTTTCTGGAATAGATACTATTTGCATGGCCTTTGCATGAGTCTAAACTCAGTAATGATGTTCAGACTACGTCAAATTTTATCCAATCTACTTGCCAATAAATAAATACTTTTTTTTTTTAATGGAGTGCATTGGAAAGGGGAGTTTCAGATGAATATTTCCTGTTTTGTCCCAGTTCAGGTAGAAAAATGAATATTGATTGTTCGTGAATGAGAAAAGGAGGCCTAGATCTCGTGCTCCATTTGGTGTGCTTTTAATTATTTCTTTTAATATGATCTATTACATGGTAATAATTGTACTTTTTTCTTTCACATGCACATGGTGTCATACTCTGCGGTTCTTAAACTCTGGGGTGAGCCTCCCAAGAGAGGTGCGGTAATGTGTCAAGGGAGACATGAGGTGTGTCCTGCTTTTTTTAAAAAGAGCTCTGGCTATCAGCCCTGGGTCGCTGGAGCTTATGCAGAAGGACCGTACACATCCGGCAGGCAGAAATAAAGGGGAGAGCCAGAGGCCTGCCACTCGGGCTTGAGCTCTCATCCCCTCCCCCATCCTCCCATTCCCATCCTCCCATTCCCTCCTGAAGGTGGCTCCAGCTGTCAACTCTGGGGTGGCAGCAGCAGCGCAGAAGTAAGGGTGGCAATGGGGCACTAAGTCTACTGTGAAAAGTGATACTGACGAATATCACTTTTCACATTGCCGCCCTTACTTCTGTCTTGCTGCTGGCGTGGCGCTGCCTTCAGATCTGGGTGCCCAGCCAGCAGCTGCTGCTCTCTGCCTTGCCTTCACCTCTGGGTGGTGGTATATGTAGTTGGGGAGGGGGACGTAAATGAGTACAGACACAAAGAAGGAGGCCCGATCAAATAAGTTTGAGAACCACTGGTCAAGAGGGATTACATAATCCTAGTTCATTAAGAAAAATAGTTTGCAGATTTTAAATAGAAAAGTGTATTAGAGTAGGTCATCTTGTCTATCCTTCACTTTTTTAAATCATATGTAACCACACAATGTCCAACCTAACTTTCTGACTTCATCACCACCACTTTATCAGCAAACACGACAGTGTTTAGCAAGCACAACCAATGGAAAACTGCCTTTTTCTTTCTTTGGCACTTAGCCTACCTGCTACAACAAGCAAAATGACTTGTCAGATGGAGCTGCATGAGCTGTTAACCAAATCCCCCCACAACCCACCAGCTTTAAAATGTCAGCCTTTGTAACAGATTTTCCACAGCTCTGTTGGGAAATTTCAACTCCCACCAAGTTTCAAAATTTATGTAAACAAATTCTCCTATTCTTATATAGCTACTTTTCTCCTATTTTACAAACCAGAATAATAGACACTGCTTATTTAACTGGTTGTATCCCTTTAATTAGAGCCCAGTCATTAAAGTCAGTAGGAAATGAAAGCACTCAGCCCCTTCCAGTAAGTGCTCAGTACATTACAGAACTGTGATTTTACTGAATTGCAACTTGCAAGGGGATTGGTGAGCAAAAGGATGAGGTAACTGCTTCTAAGCCAGAACAGGTTGATGATGACAGAAAGCCATTATAATCTGAAAACTGTTTAAGTGGCCTCACTCCTAATGAAATGGATTCTGTATTTCTGGGTTCTTGCATCATGCTACTTAACATGGTAGCTGAATGTTTCAGCTGGGGAACCAGTTTTTAGTGGACAGATGAACAAATCAAAATAGCCACCCATATTGTCACCTTTCTTGACTGGTTAAGCAGAGAGGATGAGGAGAATGGTCATGGAGTTTGAATTATCTTTATACTGTATGGATTTTCTGAAGAACTAGGTTAAGGCTCATTGGCAGGGCAGTGTTGGGAAGGGTGTTATTTGTGCTGTATCTTTTCCTTGATCTGTTTCCAGTGACAATAATCCTACATTTCTTTCAGTACAAAAATGTACTTTAGCATTAGGCCCGAATTCTCATTCACACTAAAGCCCCTTTACAAAATTTGAGCAGTGTAAAGGAGTCTTAAAATTGGTTTAAATGTAATTTACACCAATTGCAAGGCCTATTTACAGTGTCAGAGTAGGGTGAAGAGCCCTCTGTATAAATGAAAATTAGGCCCAAAGTATTTTGAAGTCTCACAACATATTCAAGTGGCCCAACTCTTTTAAAATATGCATTTACATTTTGAAACTTTTTCTCTAGTTTACTAAGGGTTTATTCTGATCTGCCCAAGAGCATTTTTCCAACTGTGATTGATTGGCAGAGTTAGATAATGAAATCGTGTAGCTTCAAGAGGCACTTCTTCTCTGTACTATTACTCTTTTAAGAGTGCCTTATTCTAGCACATACGTTAGGTGAGCCATGCCTCTTCTGAAGGCTTCCATGTGGCAAAGCTCTAGTACATTGTTAACTGTACTTTGCATACTGTGACTCTTTCAGTTATGATCAACTGTTTCAAACTCCTTGTTATGGGGTTGCTGCTTCTCTGTGGTGCAGCCCTTTCCTCTGATGTGCACAAATCTTCTCGTTTTATACGTCAGGAGGCCCTGCAGCAATCAAGCCACAATCTTGATAGCAGCAAGCTCTGTGTGGTAGCCACCTAGTGTGCTCTGCATCGTGTCAGTTGCTATATATAATAATGTTTTTTTAAGGAAAAACATCTGAAAAATTAATAAGGGCAAAAATGTCTATTTCTTTCAGGTTAAAAATAAAAGTTTAAATCTTTCTGTTTTGTTTTTTCAGGAAAGATTCTGGATGTGCTAGAGAAATGGAATTTGAATGATAAGACTCTTGTATACTTCACATCTGACCAGGGGGCACATGTTGAAGAAGTCTCTAGCACTGGAGAAGTCCATGGGGGGTATAATGGAATTTATAAAGGTGAGCTTCTTGTAATGATTTTTAGAAACATGTGTCGAAAATTAGCTGCTTACTCTGCACTGTTTGTAATATGCTGTAAGCCCAAAATGTTCACATCTGGGTTCCTAACATTAAACTTCTAATGTCCAGAATCCTAAATCCATATATAGACACCTAAACGTAAATGGCCTGATTGTCAAAAGTGATGAGCATCTGCAGCTCCAGTGACTTTAGTGAGATTTTTAGGTGTTTAGCACTTCTGAAAATGCTTTTAAATAGACCAGTGAGCCATCCAGAAAGAGATATCAGTGCAACAGGCTGAGATACCTGATTGGGTAGTAGAAGAAAGGGGAGGAATGAAGAGGTAGCTGTGTGTCATCAGAAATTGTAGCCAAGTGAGTGGGTGAAGCCGCACAGAGAAAGGGTGTAGAGAGAGAGGATGAGGGAGCCAAGGACAAAGTCTAAGGAAACACCCATAGAAAGCAGCAGAGGAGGAAGACCCAGTAAAAGAGATGCTGAAAAATACCAAAGAGATAAGAGGAGAACCAGGACAGGACAGAGTCATGAAAGCCAAAGGATCACAAGATTTCAAGAGGAGGGTATGATCAGTGGTGTCAAAGGCACGCAAATTGATTGCTTTTCTCCCAATACAGCTATTGAGACAATCAATGCGTACTTCAAATTCAAGTAATTCTGTAGCGGCTTGAGACCATCAGTAAGTTTACCTTATTGCAATAAGACCTGCTGTCCATGAGATCATGCTGCTGTAGAGGAGAATAGTGTTTTTAGCAAGATAAGGTGAACGTCAAAGTAGCAAAAAATCTAGCTGAACAGATGATCTTTTTCTTTTTGTCTGTTCATGTGTCCCTGATTCGATGTCACTTGCTGACTCATTTCATTTCAAGCAATAGCAGTGCAAAATATGCAGATGAATTTGGTAACTCATTCAGGCAAAGGGGTCATGATATAGAATCATAGAGTCATAGAATATCCGGGTTGGAAGGGACCTCAGGAGGTCATCTAGTCCAACCCCCTGCTCAAAGCAGGACCAATTCCCAACTAAATCATCCCAGCCAGGGCTTTGTCAAGCCGGGCCTTAAAAACCTCCAAGGAAGGAGACTCCACCACCTCCCTAGATAACGCATTCCAGTGCTTCACCACCCTCCTAGTGAAATAATGCACATGATTATAGAATACAAGGTGATTCTGGAGAAGGGGAGAATGAAAAGAGGAAGAAAAGAAATAGCGGGAGGGAAGAAGAGGATTACTTCCCTTTGATATCACAATCCCACTCACCAATATGTAGCAGATGGAGAGGATGGGGGAATATTAGGTGAGGGAGAAGGTAAAGAAGAGAGACAGGAAGAGAACTGTTACCGTTCCACTGCACTGTGAAGTTTTCATTAGTACCAGCTGCTAAAACAGGGTCTGATTTTCAGCATGGAAGTGGCAGGTACACGGCATTTCTGAAAAGCAGGCCTGTGATGACGAAAGTGAGCTTAACTTCCATCAAAATAGGAAAGAGATGCCTGGTTCTTGTATGGACAGGTTTAGATATTCTCACTCCTCCCAGAGAAAATTTTGTGAAAATGGTTTTTAATTTTTGTTTCCCTTCCTTTTTGGGTGATGGAGGGAGAGAATTGGAAAACCAGTCCCTAAACTTACCAGCTGTAATTTTATAGAGCAGGTAGCACATTGCCTTTGAGTATGATTTCAGAGAAGAAGAATTAGAGGGAGGGAAAAGAGGGTCACAGGAAGTAATAAAAGTGTAGTAGGGCCACCGTGTGAGGAAGCTATATAACTTTAATGTGTTTATAAAGTGGGTGAGAAACAATCTCAGATATGAGTAGGGCAAAAATTGCAACAATCACAACTGTGGAGGTTACAGAATATACAAGGGGTCCTATTGTACTATAGAGATTGACAGCTGAGAGGAATCTATCATTAACCTGAATTAGAACTATATTAATACTTAGCCGTTATATAGCACTTGCCATATTCAAAACACCATAGACTTACACATTTGTAGCTGTAGGCATGCCCCAATGAATTTTGGAAGCTCTAAAAATGTTAGTGCTTTAGAATGTCAGACATAAAATGGGGGATACAATTTGAGAAAGAAGATGAATAAATCTGGGGAATGTACTTTCCTTTGGAACTTTCATTTAACATAGAGTATTATATTTCTACTTGTATAACAGTGAAGAATTTGAAACAGATCTTAGTTGAATCAATACGGATCTGATAGCTAGTGTGGCCTAAAGAAGAAAACAGACCTTTGGGTTTTTTTAAAATGGATTATTAAGTGATTTACAGATTCCTCTTAGATAAGCTGATAAATGCACTAATATATTATGGGTGGGAAGATAAGCAACTTAATAAAAGACATTTATAATGAAACTAAGATGTTTAAAAGATCTCTGCAATCACTTTAATTTACCCTAACAGATTGAAAATATAGTGGATTACATTTTATCTTTCACACTCTACTCTAAAGCCCCAAATCAAAAGGCATCTTTTTAACATTAAGATATGTCATGCTTGATTGTCAAAAGCTCACGAAGGGAAATGGACCATTAGACACATAACTAGTTATTTTTATGTGTGAAGACCCTTTTTACATACACAAATTGGGTGTGCAAGATCAGTGTACATTTGCATGACTGACCTTCTGAAAATCAGACCTGTTATGTCCTAAACTATCACGCACTGGATGTTAATATATGTAGAAAATTAACTGGACTAAAAAGCTATCCCTCTTGCTTTTGTGTGTGTATATTGGAATTTAGCTCATCTGGTTTAGAGGAATAGAAAGTAATAGGTGTACTTTATGAGAGGGGCATCTCAGTGTCTGTGCTGGGGAATCTCAATAATACGCCTTTCTGTATATGAAAGTGTGAACATTAATCAAACCTCTTGACTCTCTTATCAAAGATGTAGCAGTCTATTCAACAGTAATTGGTTCTGCCCTAAATCAAAAGCTCACAACAGATCTTCACAGTTTGAACTCACTAATTTATCTTGATACACAGCCAGGTCAGTCCCAATAATAAAAGTTAGGGGCTGTTTGGATGGAGTGTCTGGTACCAGCTAGCTAGATTGCAAAAAGGTGACATCACTATTATTATTTCCTGAAACTTTGTGTTCTGATTATAGTGTGATCTCTGAAAAGCTGGATACAATGCAAAATTAAAACCCGACATTGACACTGTAGTTAACTAGCTCTTTGACACTATCAGCAAATAAACAAATCCTGCTTAAATCTTCACTGTCCTCTAATTAACCTGAATGCTGTTACATAATGACCTATACATTTAAGGATTGCCATTAGACTCATGGCCCATCTAGCCCTGTAGCCTCTTTCCAACAGTGGCCAGTACCAGATGTTTCAGAAGGTGCAAGAAACCCAACAATAGGCATCCTTGATTATATCATTTTTGTATTTGGCACCTTTCAATTTCATTGAATGTCCCTTTGTTGTTGTGTTATGAGTCAGAGAAAACAGAAGATCTCAATATGCCTAATGTACACCATTCATGGTTTTGTATACTTCTATCATGTCCTCTCTTACCTGTCTCCTTCATAAAATAATCAATCCCAGACTCTTCAATATCTTTTCAGACAAGAGTTTTTCCTACCCCACAATTGCTTAGTTCTTTAGACACCTTTTCTGAGGGACCTGTCAAAGACCTTTTGAAAGTCAAAATATAGGTGGAAACGTTTGCTCCCCTCTAATCCTCCAGTACAGTAGCTGAATGTAATGAGAGATTGTATATTTTTGCTAGCAGCTCAGCTACTTTGTATTTGTACATTTGGATGTGGTGAGTTATTGTTTTTTTTTTTAATTATTGATTTCTTCCAGCACCATTTCTGATTCCTCAATCTCTGAGGCTACCTCATCTTCATTACCAGAAGTGAGTTGGTCAAAGATAGGTATCTTCTCCAACGTGCTCTTCAAAATCTATATTAAATCTCCTAATTTCTCTTTTACTCACTGTAAATTATGCCCCTGTTTTTTGGCTTTCCTAGAGTTAAAATTTCAAATATTGAAGGATATCTGTTTGGTTCAATTAACGTCTTGAACCTTGCCATTTAGCCAGGGCAGTTTACTTCTGGACTTCCAGGTTCTGATTTTGTTGTGAGGTATGCAGACCTTCTCAGACATTGTTTTCCATTGCCATATGTAAAGTCTTTACTTACTATACTTTTGACTTTCAGGGCCTTATTAACTACCTCATTTTATTGACAGCTCCCTTTCTAAATTCTGTGTTACAGTGTCAATTTTTTGCAGCTTGCCTTTCCCTAAGCTGTTTAACATAATTATATCGTGGTCACTGAAACATACACAGGAAAAGCTTAGCATGGGCTAGCCTATCCAAGCTATCTTGAATCCCGCTAGTTCATGTAAGAGTAGCAATGAAGACAGCATAGTGTGGCTTTCAGGGCAGGTAGTTCAAGCCAGATACAGGGCCTGGCTATGTACTTAGCTCGCTAGCCCACTCTCAAGCTAATGCTGCACTGCCTTCACTGCTGGATTCAAGATAGTTTGGATAGGCTATTCTGTGCAAAGCTTTTGCTAGGCAGACATACATGCACTAACTGTGGTTGAGCTAGTGCGCTAAAAATAGCAGTGGCATGGGCAGTGGGATGGGCTAGCTGTCCCAAGTACAATCGCACCGAGAACCCTTGGTACTTAGGGTGAGTAGCCAGCCATACCACAACCCATGCCACTGCAGCTACACTTCTATTTTTAGCATTCTAGCTTGAGGAAAGCAAAGCTAGCATGGGTCTGTCTATCTGAGCCGGAAATTACACCTTTAGCTCGGGTGTAGACATACCCTATGCTGAAAATAGCCTCTCCATTGGTGTGCTCTGGAGCTGTTCCAAGAAGCAATCACTTAAGCTTCATTAGAAATGCTGCAGTGCTTCAGTATAGATTCTCACTACAGCGATGGGAGGGGTTTGCCTGTTGGCATAGTTAATCTGCCTACTCAAGAGGTGGTAGCTTAGTTAATGGAAGA